CGTCAATTTAGGCCTAAATTTAAATTTAAACCTTATGCATAAAATCTGATTAGGTTGAAGTTAATATTAAGAAAAAAATTAAAGTAAGCAATCGAGAAAGAAAATATAAATGATTTCAAATTCTATTTAAAATGTTGAAATATCATAACGATAATAAAGGTGAGAAAAATAACAGAGAGAGAATGTTTAAGGGTAATCAAAGGATTCATTCATATTAATATGCATTGTAGATAATCGGTGGGGCAAATGATACCGCGTGATAAGAAAGGTATGTTATAACTGCTAAGCCATGGATCATTCCCACAACAAAACTCGAATATTCCTATCGTGGATATATTTGTCAGAGTTGATACATATATCGATTAAATAATTTGATTATTTTACTTAGCTTCAAATCTGTCTCAGCAATGGATACACTTATCCAAATTTCAACCAAGAAATAGCTTAACTAACAGATAAATTTTGAATACATGAATTTTGAATATATTTTAAAAGAGATGGATGAATACACTGAAGTAAGGCCACATCTATTAATTGAATCATGAATTGAATCTAGCATCTATTACGAAAATCTTGACAGTAACAGGATCTCGACAGTGTCAGAAAATTTTCACATGATTCAACTCCTACAAAAATATTTCTTCCTGATAGCATTTCAAAAAAACAAAAAATTTTATGCTCCTTTGATAAATTCAGCATAACTTACATTAGACAAATTAAATAAACATCTGTTAAGTTTTCAGGAATAAATTTTGCAATGCTCAAGTCTGCACCTTCTATTCTTGTGTCTTTTTCAAATTAACATTAGAAAAATTAGCCCTACGCAAACCAATCTTAGTAGGAAAAAAATTCAATATCAATTGGACTAACTTAATCAAAAATGGATCCATTTAGTTGATCTCCAGTATTTTTGGATTGCTTCAATGATTTACTGAACCCAATAATAAATCCGAAATCCACTTAAACAACGCAATAGTTATTAGTGGCTACAAAGTAAAGCTATCAAGAGCAACTTTTAATTCATCTCACAAAATCGAATAAACACAGTACTAAAGCAACAAAAAAACAATAATATACATAATTTAATACAGTTTAAGGAGCAATATGTACAAACAATGGACAACATTATTCAAATAAAAGAACTGAAATTTCCGATGGAAAACCTATATGCCATAAAAATCGCAGAAAAAAATATCTCGAAAGAACAGCTCATAATTTAACGGCTAATTAAAAAATCTATCCCAAAGGATTGACTAGCAGAGAATACTAAGAATGCCACAGTCAGATAAAATAATAATAATA